ACAGCCTGATCTACTTCCCAAAAAGGTTCTTTTCACAGGTGAGGATGTTCCTAGCAATGGATCCCGACCTGGCTTACAAAATATGTTGCCAGTTCCCACAGAAACTTTAAAGTTAGAAAATCTGGAGTAAGATGGCAAAACTCTAAATTGGAGTTGCTTTATAGTTCCTGAAACTCTGAAAGAAGATAAAATACTAAGACCAGTAAGTTCATCTCAAAAATACATGACTCAGGAAAAATGTTTCACCTTCTTTCTATGGGGAGCTTAAATGCTACAAGATTTGTGTCACCAGTTACATGTCAGCAGAATTAAATCCAGAGTGTTGTTTTTCAAAATTTTGATTTCTGGGTTAGTAATAGTTCATTTACTAATTTCTAAAAATGTACATAGGATAGCATCCTCAGGAATCAGCAGTCCACATCAGAACAATGCACCCGGAGCCACAGGGGACTGACCTCTTGTGTGAAGGCTCACACTTAAGCTTGGCTGCAGTGCCAATGGAGCGGCCTTGGATGCCAAGTATCAAGGTGCTGCAGGACCTGTCTTGTCTTTACGTTAGGACAATGCACTGGAGATCATACAGCTCTCAGAGGACAACTTTGCAGGGAGAACAGCTACCTGCATGCTGTCTATTCTGCAATAAGGCATTTTTCTTTTATCCTATCTAATTTTAGCTTAAGGAAAGAAATTAGGTAAGTCCGTTTAAGCAGCAGGACCTCAACTTCAGCCTTGAGTGTGAGAGCTCCACCCTTCTTCCTTTCTAGTTTGTTTTAAATGTTGGAACATTTATAGATAGTAGTCCTTCCTTGTTCATGGTTTTGGTTTCTACGGTTTCAGTTACTTAGGGTCAGCCATGGTCCAAAAATAAGTAATCCATAAGCGCTAAATTGTGCGCCGTTCTGAGCAGTGCTGTGAAACCTTGCTCCATCCTTCCCGGGACAGGAAGCATCCCTTTGTCCTGTGTATTGCACTGTGCATTCTATCCCAACAGTCACTCAGCCGTGGTCCTTCACCCTTCTATCCGCTGGCTGGGTGCTTGTGTTCAAGTCACACTTATTTACTTAATAATGGCCCCAAACCACAAAGATAGCGATGCTGGCAATTTGATATGACAAAGAGGAGCCTTTAAGTGAAAAGGTATGTATAGAAAAACATAGTATATATAGGGTTCAGTACTATTGAGGTTTCAGGCACTCATTGGGAGTCTTAGAACATACCTCCCTCAGAAAAGGGGGAAGCTACCATATTTGGGGGCAGTTTTCAAACTATGAATAATTTCAATGTCACCTTTCCTGGTCACCCTGTGTAGCTGGAGTTTGGCGACAACTCATGAATGCCCACACTGGCATTTTGGGTAATAGAGCTGTTGCATTAATTGGATGAGCATACTTGATACGTTTGGAAACAGTGCCATATAAATTCTCTGTTCCTAGAATAAACTAATAATGATTATAATACCTCTAACATATTTTGTGCAAGACACTTTTCTAAATGCTCTACATATACTGACATTTAACTCTCACATCAATCTTATGAGACAGGTACTATTATTATAATGTTTTTCAGAGGTGGAAACCTGAGGCAGGTGCCCAAGGTTAATAAAAGTCAGCGCCAGGGTTTAGATCGAGGCAGTCTTGATTCAGAGTCTGCTCTTAATCGCTGTGCAGTGCTGCCCCTCTAACTTTAAAAAAGCAAACTAAGTAGCTCCTGGTCTGGAGCATTGGTTCTGGTCTCTAAGCATTGTATAGGAATTCATGAGGCTTTGTGGGTAGAATCCAGTTTAACATGATAAAGTATGTCTTATATTTGAATAACACTCATATAATTGCGGCAGAAGCTGCTGTAAGTGCTGAGCTATGCTCCACTACAACAAACAAACCCACCCAATTTGTCCAGATGTGTTAGTAACTCTGCCCGTCCCCCTCCCCCGCCCCTGCTACCCCAACCCCCCCTATATTTTCTTTGGGGAGAAAATACATTCTGCTTTGCCTAGGCCAGTCCTGGTTTATGCCTGTTGTGCCTACATCTTATCTGGCTTAGTATCAGTCTTATTGCAAGGATTCTTTAATATATTAACATGTGTTACTATCCAAGTGCGGGAATGAAAATGTCATCCTCAGACTTTTCGGACCCCTGACCTCTGCTCCGCGCAGCACGACTGTAACGCTCCAGAACGGTCCTCTGTGTGCGCATTTTTGGAGGTGCCAGTGGAGAGGAGTGATGAAGGAGGTCCTAGAGGCTTAAATCCTAGTTCCAACTTTTGTGTTTTCCCATTTGTGAACTGAAGTCATACTGCTGTGATTTATGATTCTCTTCTGGTCCAGGCCAATTTCTATTAAAAATGCTGTATCCCTGGACAAGTCAAAATTTCCAGAGTGAGGTGGAATGCTGAGGTACAGAGGCATAAGGTAAAATTAAAAATATATATAGGAGAACAGGGCCCATCATATGGGTGAGTTACATCATGTCCTCCGAACAGAAATTTCATAAGGAAAAAGCCTATGAGGCTGCAGTTAGAGCTGCTATACGCTCACCCTCGCTGTAAAGTGTGACCCCAAGGAAGAGAAATGTTACAATGGAAAAGCACACTGTTTCTATTAAGACTGCCCTACAGCCTTCGCAGATACTTCAACTTCCTATTACATTACTTAATGTATGCTCTTAATGTACCTTTTGTGAATTGTTAAAAGTGGGCGTAATGTTCACATGGCCTGCTTCAGAATGCTTAACTTTCTTACCTAGCTTCTCAGTGGAAAAAATGAGATCTTAATGGGCCTTTTTGTGTAGCTTAGGACAAGGTACTTGACTACTTCACCCTTAAAGTTTCATACTGGCAAACTAGACTTAGAGATAGTTACCTATCACATAATCACCCACGACCTGGGAAATATACAGAGAGGGATTTGTGTTCGGAATGACTTTCAAGAACCACAGCTCCGAGCTGTTACAAGATGAAGTAGGATAAAGCTGAGATGTAACAGTCTAATGAGGTAGATAAATAAGAGACTAAAATCTAAAATAAGATCTGAATCATTCACATTACACTACCAATTTGATGGGGTCATCATTAAATTTTTTTTTTTACCATTTTCCCTGATAAAAAGGCAATACATGCTAATTGTAGAGATTGAGAAAATAAAGAAAAGTAAAAAAAAAACCAAACAAACCCAAAATATAGTAGTACTTTAAAAAGATGGTCCCACTATAAAAAGAAATGTCTTATAATTTTGACACATTTACTTCTACCTTTTTCTTCTCTGTGCATATGAACATATGTATGTGTATATACACACATGCACAACTTCACAGATCTGGAATTACACAGCCTAAACAAATACTTTAATACTCTATCATGAGCACGTTCCCACATCCACTAGTCTAGGAAAACTTTTTTAGTGGCCATATGACAAAACACTGTTTGCCTACACTACATTTATTCGTCCTTTTATCACTACTTAGATTATTTTCAAAATTTGCCTTTGCGAATATGTTGTAATAGATATTTTTGTAACATTTTATGTATTTCTGACTACAATAGATTTCTAGATGAAAATACATTATAAAATTTTATGCATGTTCCTAAGGGTTTTAACTTAGAGAATATTTACAAAAGGTTTTGGATCAATTTTCAAGTCATCAACATGTATAAAAATACCTGTTGCAACACCCTCCACAAACACTGAATTTTTAAACATTGCTAAGAGGTTAAAATGATATTGCATTTTGATTTGTATCATTTGAGGATAAATATTTTACTGTTTTTATTGGCTGTGTGTATTCCTTATATGAATAGAATGTACTCAACTTTTGTTCATTTATCAAAAAGAGTTTTAATGTTTTCCTTATCAATTATTAGTCTTTTCATGTTAAAGTTTATTTAAAATTTATTTTTGATTTACAGATGTTTTAAATTGTAATGAAATCAAATATATCCTATTTTTTCATTGCAAATATGCTTAGAAAAGTTCCCCCATTCCAAAACAGATACTTTTATCTAGCTTTCTTACAAATTATTATAACAAGTATTATTGTTTTATTATCAGAAAGTCTTGATATTAAAGGCAGTAATTTATAAGAAGGAACACAGGTTTTGAAAGACAGAGATTTGAGGGAAGCAAAAAGTGATAGTGCATATCCTTAAATCGAGGGAGAGAAAACTATAAAAGTAAATAGATACAAAAACTCAAGTGAGCAAAGCAGTTTGGACAATGACATGATAGTACAGCAATCAATGTCCACATTAATGATTCAGTTCTCAAATAATGGTTAAATTTTATTTTTAAAAAAAATGGGTTAATATTTTTAAAATAAAAAAAGACTTTATTTTTAGACAGAGGGACGAAGGAGAAAGAGAGAAAAAGAACATCAATGTGTGGTTGCCTCTCACATGCACCCCCCACTGCAGACCTGGACCACAACCCAGGCATGTGCCCTGACTGGGAATTGAACTGGCACTCCCCTGGTCTGCAGGCCAGTGCTCAATCCACTGAACCACACCAGCTAAGACCAAAATTGGGATAATGTATTTTTTAAACATTTAATTTAAATCCTATGAAGTCTATTTTGTTGCATGGTATAAAGCAAACTCTAACTTTATTATTTTCCCCAAATATTTAATCAACTGTGCTAACATCTTCCTTAATGATGTTTCCCTTCATCACTGTCTTGTCATAGCATTTCCATTTAATCAAAATGTAAAGCATACACCCTGGCTGGGTAATTTGGTTGGAGTGTCATCTAATATACCAAGGTTGTGGGTTTGATACCTGGTCAGGGCACATTAAAGAATCAACCAATGAATGCATAAATAAGCGTAGCAAGAAATCAATGTTTCCTTCTCTTGAAAAATCAATAAACTCTTTGAAATAAACAAATAAAAACATAAAGCATACATATATTAGGATCTGGTTCCACTGATCTGCCTCTGAGTCTTTTATGGACACCATACTATAATATTATTTTAAAAACATACTGAGTTTCCTTCTTTTTTGTATTCCTACATGGCGATCACATTAGGATGTGGTGAGTAGCTAGAGGGGGAGCTCCAGATTTGGGTCATAATCTGTGAAAGAGCTGGGAAAGTTCCAGGGACAGATGAAGGGTCAGTAAGGATGTAGGTGTGGAGGGCAAGCAATTTTTCCCCAGATGTTCAAATACACCTCTGTCACTCAATAGCTCTTCAGCTTAGAATAAGTAAATTCACCCTCTTGTGTCATGGTTTCCTTATATAATGGGGTTGTTGAGAGGATAAAATGAATTAGCTTAAAACTCTTAGACCAATGCTTAGCCCATGGCAAAAATCATTATCACTTATTTGAAGCCATCTTCGACCTTCATCATGCTACTGAAATTAATCTTGCAAAGGACGTCAATGATTCCCTAAATGTCAAATCAATATGGCACAAGGATTAAAATTACAGGCTCTCTAGAATCAGGTTGCCTGCATTAAAATGCCTTCTCTGACATTTATAAGCTGTGTGACCTTAGAAAAGTTACTTGCTCATTCTGTGCCTTAATTTCCTGATTTATAAAGTGGGGGTACTAATAGTTCATTCCTTATAAGGCTGTTACATGGAATCCTGATAAGAATGTAAATTGCTTTGCACATAGTCTGGCACACAAGTTAATTCTCAGGACACGGTCTCCATTAATCATCATTTTATTTGATTGCTCTGGACATTTGGCAGTATCACTGACCCTCAACTTTTTGACCCTCCTCCTTTGCTTTCTGGCATACTGTGGTTTGGTTCTCAAACATCACTTTACACACTGTCTTCTTTCACCTATCCCTAAAAATGCTGGCATTCTCCAAGTCATCCTCTCCTACCCTATTCTTTAATGACCATAAACTTTCCTCGTGCTCCTTCTCCTAAGACAGAATTTGGCAAAATTTTTAAAGATTTTATTTATTTATATTTAGAAGGGAAGGGAAGGAGAGAGGGAAAGAAATATTAATGTATGGTTGCCTCTTGTGCGTCCCCTGCTGGGAACTAGCCTGCAACCTAGGCATGTGCCCTGACTGGGAATCAAACCACGGTCCTCTGGTTCGCAGGCCTGCACTCAATCCACTAAGCTACACCAGCCAGGGTGCAAATTTTTTCTTAGAGGACCAAATAGTTACTGCTCTGGCTTGTGGGCCACACAATCTCCATACACATGAAACCATACATTGAAAATATGTCCATGAGTAGGCATGGCTATATTACAATAAAACTTTATATGCAAAATAGGCAGCCAGCCCATGGGCCACAGCTTGCCAACTGCTCCTCTAGGTAGTTGTTACAGCTCAGGCATCACTTAATTAGACCACTCATCATACTGCGCTCCTGGACTGCAGGCTATCTGGGAGCTGGGTGTCTTTTCATCCCTGTGTGCTTTGCACGCAGCAGAGAATCTGGAGGACTCAGTCAAACAACATTTCCTGAGACACAGGATAAGAGGACCACATAATATCAATCATAACAGTTAAAAACTTTGTTGTGCTACAAGGAAGGAGGAATTTCTTTCATGTGAGCCCTTCAGTAGCTACCAAGACAAACTACAGAGAAAACCTCATGGCCTGTGTAACACATTGAAACATCTAGTAGAATTAATCTTTCTCCCCCAAATGTGAGAGGGAAATTCAGGTCCAGCAAACTCACAATTTCAAGGACCAAGTAATACTGCAGACATCAAAACAGAGTTGTCCAGTGTGATTGATAAAACAGGACACACTTTATAGGAACTGAGAAACAGCTGTTTCTCCATTTCTGCTTTAGAGAAGAAGTGGCGTCGGGGTTCAGGGGTATACGCTAAACATATGGAGAAAATGTACTTGCTTGAAATGTGATGTGGAGTTGACGAAGGGCTCAGTTTGTAAGGGATAATGTCTCGGTGGGTGAAATTAAGAGGACAAAAAGTACGTCCACAGAGTCATCTCAGCGTTGTGATGAGTGAAGAAGGAGACACCGACAAACACTGACGGGAAGAAAAGGAAAGTTGAAGCTGAAAGAAACTCAGTACACCCCAGGGAGGGCACTAATGACAGGAACCAAGTATCACTCGCAATAATAATGTATTTGTTAAAATAAATTTCAGATAAAGATGACACTAGATTTGGAGAACATATGGAAACCAAAATGTCATTCAAAAGTTAAGTGTGAATATTGAGTTTCTCTAAATCCAGTGTAGAGAATCCCTGTGGAGCTAAGAATGCCTGGGAAATATATTGAAGCCTCTGCAGGAGAATTTTAGAGTTCTGGAGCACACTTAAAAATAGGTAGTAAGTAGACAAAGAACCACGTTAAACTTATTCCTTTTAATTTCCACATTCAAACTTAACCAGCAGTGATATATTTAGTATAATTAAACATTTGCTGAACTCCTTTTATGGGTGATTACTCATTTTGTGTGATTCAACATATTCTCTCAAGTGGCAGTTACCAGACAGCACTCTTTAGAATGTTTTCAAATCATAAAATCATTATCATAAAAAAATAACCCAAGATTTTTTAAAAGGACAAAATGTTGGTTTCCTTTAGTTTTCTACTTTCCCTTCCCTCTTAAGAATTATGAAAGGATTCATTATGTGTCCATATGGACACATATGAACACATAATTCATTCATGCTTCAAATATTTAATGAGCACCTGCTATGTACCTGGTACTGTGCGAAGCCCAGAGGAAGCGAGATGAATAAGACATGGTCCTTATTCTGAGAAGCTGGCAAGTGAGAATGACAGATGTGAATAAGTAATTAAAATGCAATGTGATGTTATAGTGATGGAGAAGAAATATGAAGTGATGAGGTACTTTTGCGGGGAAAGTGGGACTAGAAAGAGCATTAGGGAGTTTTCTAAGGTGACGGAACTGTGTGCAGTACTGATTCTGGCGGCGGTCACAGAAATCTATGTGGGCGTTGAATTCATAAAGCCTGTACTTTGAAAGAAAAACAGACTAATTTTACTGTGTGATAAAGTAAAAAATACAATGTGAGAGATGCCTATCAACAGGAATTCAGATAAATAAGCTATGGTATATTTGAATAATGGAATACTACTGAGTAATAACAGGAATAGACTACTGGTAAATGCAACACCGTGGATAAGTCTCACAATCGTTACTGGAGAAAAGCAGGGTAAAGTGAAGTGCATCCTGCCCGATTGCATTCATATGGACTGTAGAGTAGGCGGCACTGACACAGAATGACAGAAGTGAGCAGCAGTTGCCCTGTACACGGGGTGGGATGGGGTGGGACTGACTGGGAAGGGACCTCAGGGAACTTTCCAGTGTGACCGAAATGTCCTAGGTCTTGGTCAAAACTGATTGAAAAGTACACTTCAGATTTACTGAGTGCTTCAATAAATTTAAATTATTCCTCAATAAAAAATCTGTATTTCGTGGTCTTGGCCTGTCTTCCACAGCACACAGTTTCTTATGGTGTTTACTTACAGCTGTAAACAGCTCGAACCACCTCTGTACCACATCTTACCATTTTCTTTCTATGAGGAATTATAGTTCTGATTTCTTAAATCATACTATATTTTCTAATAATAAATCTTGTGACATACAATTAAAATGCCATGTGCAGAGTATGCAGCAGTAGAAGGAGGAGGAGGAGAGAACTCTACTCTCTGAGTGAGGACCTGTTGGTGCATATCAGACACTTTCAAACCCATGGGAGTAGCCACAGGCTTAAACAACTACTACACAATCCATTTCTCAGAAAGACAACGATTTAATGTTTTAATAACTACAACAGAGGTCATGACACACAGCAACTCCCTTTGATAATTGAAGAGCTTTGAACTAGGCCTTAAAAGGTGATCCTGGCCCCTTTCCTCAGCTGCTGGTGAGGTGCTGGGTCTTTCTGAGGAAGCTAAGGCTGCCCTGGGGTGAAGCTCTCTCACTGCGTCTGGGGACCAGCACTGCACCCGGCAGCGCTTGCTTTTACACCATGGGCTCTGTTTCTCAGAACTTGCCTGCACCTACTCAGCCCTTATCCTGCTTGATGATGAGGTGACGGTGACGGAGGGTAAGATCAATGCCCTCATTAAAGCAGCTGGTGTAAATGTTGAACCTTTCTGGCCAGGCTTGTTTGCAAAGGCTCTGGCCAATGTCAACATGGGGAGCCTCATCTGCAAGGCAGGAGCCGGTGGACCTGCCCCAGCAGCTGGTGTGGCTCTAGGAGGAGGTCCCTCCCTTGTCACCACTGCTGCCCCAGCTAAGAAGAAAGTGGAAGTAAAGAAAGAATCTGAGGAGTCTGATGATGACATGGGCTTTCTTCGTCTTTTTGACTAAACCTCTTTTGTAACACACTAAATAAAAACTGAACTCGGGCGGGGGGAAGGTGATTTTGGGTTTCACAGAGTTTCGTCAGTTATACAACAGTCTCCAAACCCCTGTAGCAAACTCCATTTACAGAAATCAAAGCAGGTAAGACCCGGTTGAAGTCATCAGTTGTTGAAATAGTTTCGGGACCCAGGGAAATGGGACTGGTGACTGTTTCCATACTTGCTGATGGGGAAGAGACAAAAAAACCCACCCAGGGTGCTGCGGAAATAAACAGGTCTTTACAGAGATGTTTTGTTTCTCTCTGTGACATGTTTTGACTTCATGATTAGGATGTGGTGGCAAAAATTAACAGGACCTGATACATGTTATGTTCCCAATGACTGTTTTTAGTATAGAAAACATTATTCCTGAATGCCATTTCCTATGCTACACATCTTGCTGCATTCATGGCCAGGCTTTATTTACATTGGCTATTTTATACTTTCCTCACTCAACCCTCTAGTTTCCCTTACTTTTATGCCAAGGAACAGACACAGAGTTTTTCCTTTTTATAATTTATGTATGCAGAGAATACGTCCAAGTCAGGTATGCCCCTTTCATCCACAGGAAGAGTCTGGGGCCATCTGACTCATGGACACGACGAGCCCAGAAATAGAATAAGCAATCTGGCTGAAAGGGAGAGACAAGTGGAAACTTCTAGGCCAGCACACTGCTAAGGTGCTATGTCATATGAAATTAATTCTCTGAGGTCAGCAATTAGAGTCAGGTTACAGCCTAAACATCATTCCGCTCGCTAATTACTTGACCCATTACAATATTTATTTCATTGAGAGAGATGCCCGGCCAGGACTTCCAAGGGTGGGCTCAGGGGCAGATAGAAGACAGCAAACGGTCAGAGAAATAGCTTTCTTTTATAAATGGATATGTCTCCCAGGCCCATAAGTGAAATGACTTCCTGCCTCTTTAAGTGGGGGATCAGATGTATCATGCTCCTCCTTTTCCAGCAAAATGAGATCTCAGAGCTCTTTAGCAAAGCGCAAAAGATGACTGAATAAATTAATTGAGTTATGTTCTATCATGAGAAGCCTAGAGGTGAGATGGTAACAAAACAACCCATTGTATAAGAAAGAGGAGGAAGCCAGGGCACGAACAGTGTGGCTAGAATGGTACAGGTATGTACTTCTGAACTTCTGAAGGCTTATCTTTCCCCAGCAAAGACATTCAGAGTGGCAATAAGAAGAAATGCCAATTTCCAGATGGAGATTTTAGAATAACAAGAGTACCATGAACAGGAATGACTCGAAACTACAAGGAATAAATAAGCACAACAGCTCCCTTACTTAAAGAATGCCCAAGGGGTTGTTGGGTGTGAGAAACAGTGGATATGAAAGCTGGTCTCTGACAACGTGAGACTACTCATGTACACTTATCAGTTTATAAACCACCCAATAATAAAAACAGTGGTGGCAGCAGCTGCTGTCACCATACATTAAGTGACTGCTCTGTGCCAGGGACTGCACCAAGAGCTTCATGTCCATGACCCCACTGACGAGTGCTGGCTCTTCCCTTCCCACACAGCTCCCAGGTGGCCCTTTGCCATCTGGGGAAAAGTAATTCCCCTTCTGGGATGTCCTTGAAGTTCAAGGAGGCTAACAGCACATGAACAACAAGGGGGATGGTGAGGACTGTGAGGAAGGGAAGAGAGCGATCCTGTAACTGGTTTGCCCGCAGGCCCTGCATCACATGAGGCTGCTGAGAAGGTCAGGGTCACCAGCTTTGACCTGGGGCCAATGGGAAGGTTCCACAACCTCTTGCTTTCTATCATCCTTCTCATTTCTGCCCCCAAAATTGACACATGGTTACAGAAAAGAAGGGAAAGACTGATGCCTATAGCTGAAGTGTGCAGTTTAGTGGCCAGAAACCAGACTTGTCACATGCAATCAAATCATCATAGTGTCGGTGACAGAGTTAAGACAGTTGAAAAAACGGTTGCTATTCCAACTTCCAATTTTCAAGTTATTGTTGGGGCTGAAATTTCTCTCACCTCAAGTGTTTTTATTTTGGAAAATCTCCAAAGCACACTTTAGCCATATTTGCGTAATTGAAACATGAAAAAAATAGAGATGTTTTCAGCCACATTAAACTCTAACCAGATGCTCTTTAAAAGCTTTTTTTGCATGTACATAGCACCTTTTATTCTAGCAGAGTCATTCTAGTCACCCCTGAACTGCATCCACATAGACTGAAAATATTAACTCTTTTAAGAGCAATGGCAACACACTGACACAATCTCCAGAGCAGACATAAAGGAGATCCCACCAGCCATTCTAAGTCTCCCGCTGTACTCACACCGCTGGGAATCCAAGTCCAAATCAACCTAACAAACATGCACCGAACACTTTCTGTGTACCAGGAGCAAAGCTGAAGGACAGTGAGAAGTTGGCATGAATATAACCAACTTGCAAAGTGAAAATGACACGCAGGATTCCTGTGAAAATAGGATTCCAGCCAGCACCCTACCTAGCTTACCCGAAGACAGTGCCTCTGGCATCTTTTCTTCTAGAATCTATCAAAGAAGAAAGTGGTTTGGGCATTTAGAGGAAAAGCAGAGCAAAGAAAAGTTAATGACCAGTTTCTTAGAGCCCAAGAACTCTCACATCACCAACCTCAGTGAAAAGCCCAGAGTAAGACCTGGTAGTTCCTGGCTCCTGCAGTGTTGGATCCCCCAGCAACTGCTCTGACCCCTTCCATTCTCCACAGGAGCCAGAAAGATCTTTTTCAAATGTAAATGACATTATGCAACCTTCCAGGTTAAAACTGCACAGCAGTTTGATTTTATACTTAGAATAACATCCATATTCCCTACCACAAACCACAAGGCCCTGCCCCAACTGGGCTTCTATTTACCCCTTGGCCTCCTGGGTTCTCCTACTTGCCCCACTACACCCCAAGCCACACTGGCCTCCTGGGGCTCCTAGAACTCTTTTCTTACCTTGGAGCCCTTTTGCTTATTGTTCCCACACCTCAACTGCTCTTGGGCTTGCTCCTTCACACTACTTGGGTCTCCTCTGGCATCAAAAATAGGCCACAATTTTCTTTTACTTTTTTCTCCTGGCACTGTTACAAACTGTAATTATCTGACTTATTTGTTAACTCGTTTTTATTTGATTCGTCCCATGGACTTTAAAACTCTAAGACAGCTGGAACCAATAACATCCGCTTTTTCACGCCGTGTCCCTTGTGTGCAGGACAGTGCCCCAGCACAGCAGAGACGTGAATCAAGTTGCAAATAATACATTAAAAAGAAACAATATAAAAGGGTCATCTTTCTATTTTATTTTATGTCTTTACCACCATAAATACTGTTATACTAAAGTAAAGCTTCAAATTCCATTGGAAGTTTTTCATGTATTCATTTAACCAGGACCACCCTGCCTGAACTTGAGAGGCTGAGAGAATGGAGACCTAACTTATGGCTACAATTAGAAAGTTTCAGAGGGATTGCCTGAAACCACCAGGTTTGGCATATAATGCATTTTGAATAGGGGGGATTAGCCCTTTCTCATTTCATTTGTGGTTGAAAGCAGAATTGCTCTTATGTATGTCTCATGTAGTTCCTTAAGGAAAATCACAAAAGAACCTTAAAGTCAAGCACCAGAACACTTAGAATGAAGACTGCACAATGTTTTCCTGGGAAGTTAGTGTGAAACTGGTCTGAGTGGACACCTTGTTCACCCTGCCATTTAGCCCTAGTCTGGGATGACAGACCACGGAGTTGGGGAACTCAGAAGTGCCCTGGGTGCCTGTCCCTGCCTCCCCAACCCTGCCCAATAGCTAAAAATAAAGATCTGCAGTCTTCAGGCTGTGCCCTGCCTGGTTCTTTGGTCAGTAAGGACCAAGGCTTCCAGAAGTCTGGCCACACCACAGAAGGGGGTCTAGGATTGTTTGCCTGCTTAGGGATGCTCTCTGGAGCCTGGACAGGACCCCCGGTGCTTGTCTACCAGGTGAATAGCTGCCTTTCTCCAGTGGCCAGAGTTGCTCAGCCCCTAGGATCACTCTTTCTCCTCGGTATGTTTAATTTCTCTGCTAGGACCATAGTTGCTCAGCATCTAGTTTATTTGGATGGGGTTCAGCTTCCTTGCACAGTTCTTCCCTGTCACCTGCTCCCTATTCCCTAGCTGGTGCTTGGGATCTGGCCCCAATTCAGGCAACTCACCTGGAACAATACTGCAGCCACCTGCTCGCACTCTCCCTGCAGGGTTGACATACCCATTTGTAATCTATGCCACTCATCCCCATGCTGGGGCAGACTCACCCATTTTTCATCTGCACCTCACAGCTGACCTGAGGTCCCAGCATGCTTCATCAGTAACAGTGCATAGAGACACTAGTGGCCCCTTCAGTGCACAGGATAGCCTTGTTTAAACTTGGCCATTACTCTGGGGATGCTGTGACGTAGTAGCTTCTCCAAGGCTTATGTTAAGTACAGGGCACCCAATGGTGTGAAATTTAAAGCCAGGTCACATAGTTTTCATGAGTAAAACAAGAGGCTAAAATTAGATGAGCCCAGAGTTTCTTTTCAGGTGTAACATTCCAGTATCCCAGAAAAAGCCATTGGGTTCCAAATGCTATGTGTTTCCCACTTCACCTCATTGACTATACTTTCCTGCAAAAACACCTCTGGTGGTTCCCCACTGTCCACAGAGTATAGTTACAACTTCTAGCATCAAAGCACCTAAGGTCCTTAACATACTGGGAGCAAATAAAAATTGCACTTTACCTCATCCCAAGCTGGACACCACAACCCTGACCTCCAGGCACAGGAGCAGCTTGCCACCGCTGAACACAGCACGTGCTCTCCTGCCACGTGCCTATACCACGTCCTCTGCTGAGAACGTCCTCCTCGCCCTTCCCTGGCAGAAATCACTGCTCCTCCCCCAAGGTGTCCGGTGTAAATATTCCCGTCGCCCCCCCGCCCCCGTGCAGCTTCTCTATTCTGCAGCTCA